AAAAAGCAACTATGCACTCTACTATTCAGTATCGATTCAGGGGATTTTTAGCCATTCAAAAATCACCATTTTTTGGACTATTTGTGCAAGATGACATGATTTTGCTTTTCCGCACCTTTTTTGCATGATTTTCCAAAAAAAAATGTTGAGCGACTCACCCAAGATACGGTAGCTCATATAAAAGCACATTTCGACAGAATCCTTTGATCACCGTATGTGCTTCACTATCGATAAACGAATTATTTGGGAAGATATCAGCTATCCAGTCCGGGCTTTGTTCCGGTATTTCTTGAGTGAAATTCGAGAATCGTGCCTCACCAAGACTTGTACCCGGATTATCCGGGAACAATACCGACATATCTGGAATTTGGTAACATGAGAACAGAAAATGCGGTAAATAAATGCGAAATTTCGATGTCGAGAGCGAATCGCGGGTGAATAGCATGTGAACAGCGGGTGCTGTGCAAAATTAAAAGCGAGAGAATGGCAGAATTGCAGCGGTGATGTGGGATATATAGGTGTGACTTCTTTTGTTAAGCCCCTACTAGGCATTATTGGTGACAAAATCGATTCGGAGCGAGAGAGCTTTCCGCGAAAATTGCGAAAAATGTTCGGGAAAAACTTGACAGAGCGATGTGAATGGGAAAAGTCGTGCAAATAAGCGGAAAGTACAGAAAATTATTAGATGTGATGGATGAAAAGATCTGAAGAATTCAAGCGGAAAAGGCTAAAGCTTCTTAGAAAAAGAGCTCAAGGAGCTTAGAGAAGATCTCAGAATCTCAGAAAACTTCAAACAGAGAAAATATCAGGAATAAACTCTATACACAAAAAACTATACACTCTACGCACTAAAAATTTGGAAAATTCATGATGTTTTCCAACTTCAAAGAAGCTTCTACTTTGACAATTTTTAGATAGAGAAGTTCCTGCATTTTCCGAAAATAATTAAAGCATGTCATACCGCAATGATACAAGCTTATAAGGAAACCCACTCAAAAGTGATTTTTTGGATTTGCCAAATTTATTGGGACGCCTAATTTCCATTTTGGTTTTGTTTTTGGTTCTATGAGAATTTGCTG